ACAAATCCCAAGTGGAAATACACTTGCAGTGACATGTTGGGGACCTTTCTTGTGCATAAACCTGGGCTCACTGCATTGAATGTTGTGGTTATAATCTATGTCATTTTCCTCTTGTTATTCCAAAATATAGAGGGCAAATATTATTAATATAACCAATTGGAGGTCTTGTTTTCCCTTCCCAAACCTCATATCATAGTCAATAGATATTTTGAATACACAAAGAATACTGAATCGGGTCCTTGATTAGTGTTTGAGTTATACCACAAAGACCACAAGACTCAGAGGTTGCCAAGGCAACACCACTTCAACCTCCTTACATTTCTGCTTTGATATGAAACCTCTCATTATATAAATGTATCACAACACCAGTCAGCATGACAGGCTATTTTACAAATATGCCTTCAGATAGCAGACAGCTATATTCTTCTCTTGGGGGGGGGAAGACAATAATAAGGTTACTTTTTACTAAGGGGTAGAGGCAAAAATGACATTCCAAGCTACACAGGCTTTATTATGAAATTGTATCCTGAGCCTTTTAATATAGCCAATAAATTTTGTATTATTTGGCCAAAAATCCACAAAAAGGCAGGAAGCAAACAAAACAAAAAACCCCAAACACACCACACAAGTAGAGTCTGAGACGCTAGAATTTTGAGTAAGTGCAACTAACAACTTTGTATAAGAGTTTTACTGAACCATTGGAAATTGGATACTCCAGCATATGTTGTTTACAACTACAGATCCAGCAAAGTTTAGTAAGCATAAAAGACCTACCAGGAACCTACTGACACTTTTCTATCCCCAATTTTGAGGTCTAAAGTGGTACTTCACAATATACCACTAGCCTCCTTTACTGAGCAGTATTCAATACACAGTAGTCTACCTTCAGTTACGCTCCAGGATCCTTCAGCAAAGCCAGGCTCCCGCAAGAGGAGGGCTCTGTTAAAGACGGCTACTTCTCGGTCTCCTTCTTAGTCTTCTAGACCCCGTGGAGTCTGCGCAGACTACGAGCTGATCCAGAATGCACATGGTATGGTTGGCTGGGTGGGTTAGTAACAGGATGGCAATAGTTCCAGATACATCGCTCCAACCTTTCCTTGTGTCCTAGCACCCTTTGTGCTGCCAGCAGACTTTCCAGAGACAGTATTACTAACAATCAGCTAATTCTGCATCATCTGGAGACACTTCAGCATAAGTTGAGAAAGCTGACCTTTCTAAAAAAGAAGATTGTAACAAGTAAGAATATACATAGATATTTGGAGTTATGGAAAAATATGAAAATTGGAATGGTCTGGACTTAATTTTTTTACTTCTTCCCTCTCTTCCATTTTTGGCTTGTAATTTCCAGCTACACTTTTCTCACTGTGACCCTGTGACATTCTGACCATCCTCAGCAGTAAGCAAAGTAAATCTTACAGTGTTGCATAAGAGGAAGAGGAGCAAAAATACCACTAGGAAGCACATGCAGTACTAGCAAAGGACTTGTTCCTTCATCCCATCAATTATGTAAGTTCCAGGTCAGAGACAACTGCCCGCAGTTTGCAATGACAAAATAGCACCACTTACAAATATTTCTAGTTGAATGTAACACTAGATGCCCAATTACCACAGAGTGCCTGTTTGTATGGTTTCTACAAGAAGAAAACTCTCTTTACTTACTTGTGAAGAACGTCGCTGAAAAACACCTTGCATCACAGGTTCCTTTATGGGTTATGCCATCTGCTATGTACTCAGAGTATGGCAAAATGTTCAGGGCATGGACTATCTTGGACCACCCAACCGCATCCAAAGCCTTGCTATACTACAGAACCAGTTTCACTACACAGCCAATTCCTGTTGTAATCCCAAAAGATTAAAGTGTTGTAAGACTGTGGATGTGCACAGAATTCCCAGTTTCACTGGGTAATGGAGTAATGTACCATTCATGCTGTTCTTTACTTCCCCAGCATCACGTTGTTTCTCATTTGCTAAAGTGTTCAGGTGATGAATCAAATGGCCAGCTAGTGGCTGATCCAAATCCTACTCTTTCCTATCACCTTTGTTTTGCACGTTGGAGACTCTGAAGAGGGCAAATTTTGTACCTAAAGTCTGAGGTTCCAGAATTTAACACAAACAGTGTACCACAAAAAAAACCCAAAACAAAAAACCAAACAAAAAAACAAACAAACAAAAAAACCCCAAACCAACAACAACAACAAAACAAAAAACAACAAAAAACAACCAAGCTTCTGAGAGACACAGTTTATGTAGGATGGCTAGATTTTGTACCTAAAGTCTGAGGTTCCAAAATTTAAAACAGTGTACCACAAAAACAAACAAACAAAAAACCAAAACCAAAACAAAAAAACCCCAAACAACCAAGCTTCTGAGAGACACAGTTTATGTAGGACGGCTAGAAGATTCACATCAGAATCAGGTATCATGCTGCAATCCAGTCAGCCCTGACACATTTCCACATAAAGTGGGCCATGAAGCTGGAGAAAAGCCAGTATAGCAGAAAACCTTCAGGGTTATTTTGCATAGGACTATGCAAATTCTTCACAAAGTTGAGGACTTGAGATCAGAGGTATTTGCTTATCAACTTTCACCAGCACTAAAACTCACATAACTAACCTTAGAAGACAGCATGTTATTCTGAACACTATTGCTGAACAAGCAGCTGAATAAAATCAATTACTTGCTCAAGGGATATTCAAGACATACATTTCCTTAATTATTGTCAGATATGCAGGTCAACAAAAAGGAAGATTGATTTCTGGATAAACAGAATAACTATGATGTTAAAATGTTGTGTGGAAAGACAAATTGTGAATTAAAGCATTTTAACGCTCATTTTAGTGAAATGATGGGAATATTTAGGAAGCACTTACAGTCAAGAAACTGTACACATCCCCATCTGCCTGTCGATAGCATAATGCAACAACCTCTCCAGTTTTCATCTTCTTATCACTTACACCTTGCTGATCAGGATGCATTCCTTCTTGCCCAACCATGTATTTGTACTGATTAATGAAATACTAATATAATGACTATGCTGCTTGCATCAGCAATGCTATAACAAATTGACATTAGCTGGAAAAGTCAAGTCAGCCTTATTTTTTGTGACCCAGTGCTGTTGCCTCATCTGCTCACTGATACATGTTGTGCACCAAACTGGCCCTCAGCATCCAAAAAGGAAAGTTACCCCAGACCTGTCCCTGTAGAGAATCAGGGAGGTGAAATAACATGTTTTAGCTGCATAACAGACTCATTTCTGTAATGTCAAAGAATTTCCCAGCAGTTCTTAAACAACGCAATGAACAATCATCATTTGTTGTTTCCTCTCCCCATCATCCGGGAGAGAATTTTGTGCCATTAAATGCCTTGTTTTGCTAGGCAGTTTTGGTCTGTTTTGTTGTAGATTTTCTTCTGGGCTTATTTGGGGAGGAGGGAAACAGGTTATGGTTTAGGATTTTAGTTTTCCTACTGCTTCATCAGAGGATGCATAAGAATCAAGAAAATGTCACCTAGCTCATGAAAAGAGTGGTTGAGATCTGCAGTGGTGCTCAGTTCTTGGGAGAAACTGTACACAAGCTCCTTTCCCTCCAAGTTCTCGCCCACAAAACATTGGCTAGGAAATCTGCATTTCCAGCATCCGTCTGTCTACATCAGTATATAAAATAAAGCCAGGCATCTACTCCCCACCCTGACTGGAAGCACCATAGAGCAGCAGAGCAAAGAACCAGTAAGTTACACTCAAAAAGCCACTCACAATACACATGCTCAAAGCCATTCGTTGTGCTTCATCCCTTCCCTCCTCAGTCCCTTCCGTAGCATACATAAATCCAAAGGGGGCAGCTGCAGCATTATTTCTTCTATGCCTTCCCATTGCTCCTTTCCAAATCTTCACTCCTCCATCAGCAGGGGAGCTATTATACAGCAGTGTGCGTGTATGTACATACACACATATACATATATAGGCCTTTCTACTCTAACAAGAAGAAGGAAAGCCCCATATAAAAGGATCGTTACCCATCCATGCTTTGTGGAAGCATGGTAAATGCAAATCCCTTGTATCCACACTGTGGCTATGCATGCCCTTGTACTGCAAAAGTTAAATACACTTCCTAAAACAATACAGACAGGATTAAGGAAGACCTCACCCCTAAAGAGACCAGCATCCAGCATAAATTGAAAGCAGTTCCTGTGAAAGGAAAGCTGCTGAAAGGAGAGTAGACATTATAGGAAGTATGCATGTATATATAGTATGCATAGCATGTATATATAGTATATATACATCTGCATTCTAGTTAAATTTCTAGTAGTAAATTCTAGGAAAAAATAAATGCATAACACCAAAGCTGCTACAGAGAGGAGCAAACAATGAATTAAATTCAATTCCTCACAGAATAGCTTATTCAGTACAACATACTACCACAGTGTCTATCGGCTTCTTAATTAAGTCTTAACTACTGTTTCCCGCTAGTAACTTCAAAAATTTACTGCTGCTTATTTTTTTTTAAGATGTTCATGATTTTCCACCAGGATGGCAAGGAGTTGACAAAATGCTCACCAATGAAGTTTTTCCCATGATATCCCTGTTGTCATTTATGGGTTGTTGAGCATCAGAAATGTATTCCTAAGCACTTCCTCACTTGCGTTATCATAGATTATCATAGCTAATGCAAGACAAGTTCCAAGGACAGTGTTAAGTGTCTGAAACAGGTAATGAAGACTGGCTAGACAAGAGATGCAGACAACACTGCTCGTCTTCCCTCAGTTCTGCCAGCTGCTAACAGCTTTGACAGTAAGCTGAATACTTGTAAATGCCTGCATCTCTTACATTAAGAAAAAAATTAATTAGCCTTGTCTAAGTAGACAACAAACTTAAATCCTACCATTGTCTATTTAAGGATTAAATCCACATTCTACTGATAGGTTAATGGTCGACAAAGTCAGGCTACTTCACATTCTTCTCTGGCACAAGATAAATCAGCTGACACTGTTCATGTGACACTCACCTGGTGTAGCTTCTGCCAAAATTCAGGTCCATCTTCCATTTTTCTTAAGCTTGGTGGAATGTACCAAAAGCAAACGTTTGCATACTCCGGCTAAACAAGAAAACAAGTGATTGCTTATGAGATGTAACAAATGGGACAGGAATATATATTATAGCTCATCAAAAAGTTCTGCTTTTTTTTGGGGGGGGGGGAAAAAGCCTATGAGTTTATACCCCTTTCATTAAAACATCCTTCTCCAACTCACCTTTTGTTTCCTTTTTTAGAAACCAGAAATAGTTTTCATATCATTCACTTCTCTTCCTGCTGCCAGAAAAAGAAAACCTGTTGGGGTTCCTTTTTCATTTCTTCTTCCTACATATGTATTTAACTCTGCTTTGCTCACTAAAAACTTTCATTAGGAAAAACGTGTGAGAGAGGCATAGAGAGGTAACTTACAGATTTCAAAATTGAAGCAACCTTAAAGAGAAGGATACATTTTCTTTCAAGTGTTTTTTTTAAATGAAAATTTCCTATGATGCATTTTACATAAAACATATAAACTCAATTTAACACTTGCACACCTAGTCATTTTTCTACTGAACAATGCCAATCTCCTTTTATATCATATATCACACAGCACACTACACACTGCTGGAGTTGATGTTGGCTTTCTCAGTTTCCACATTTTATAGGAATCTCAGGACCACTTGCAGGGTATGTGCCATATCCTGGATATATCTGGTCCAATATCTAAGCAGGCCTTTTGAGCAAAGACTACACATCTCTGCTTCCCTCCAGAGAAATTTTGCCTTTAAACTCAGCAGAGAGTTAGCTGCAAGACTCCCAACAAGAACGGCTGTTCGCCATGCATTACAAAATAAGGCATTTTGTGCTCATGAGGTTTCTGTTTCATACAAGATCGAGAAAATGTTCCTAGCAGATCAGTCTAGGGTCTCTCTATATTTCCTGCTAATTTGGAAGTTGTTTTTTTTTACCTGTACAGGTAGCAACAGCACGAGGAATAGATGTGCCTTCTAGCCCCATCCAACACTACCCATAAAACCACTCAGTTAATCTTGACCTACGTTATTTACAACACAGTATTTAACTGGGGTCTAGATTATAACATGGATTATAAACTCACACACCCCTCTCCTCACCCACACGCCATCCTCATTAGTACTGGTTGAAAGAGAAAAAAAACAGAAGTTAAAAGGGAGCTTGGTAGCTGGTTCACACCATCCCTTTGCCCCAGTGTGAATGCAGCTGCTATTACAATCCCAGGCAGTCTCCTGAACGAGGAGAGCCCACCAGCTGAGACATGTTCCTTCATGAAAGGGCACTGGGAACTGCTCATATCATTTTCCGCCTCACTTCAAAGAATGCATTAAATACAATTTAATCATCAAGAAGAATATCGTTGTCAGCAGGAACAGAGCTGCAAACCTGCCACCTGCTGCCACCGAATGAAATAAAACTCAGCTCTTAAAGTCCCATTTCTTTCCCCAAAGAGCATGCATTGAGTACACACATAAACACAGACCCTGAAAAGGCAGCGGCTTCCTCATGAGCACGAGCACTAGCTCGCTGTTAAAGGGTTTATTTTAAAACTATTTAAAATTAGATGGCAGTAGACAGATGGCATATATTACCATATTGCCATTGCCTATATTGCCTTCTTGATTATCTCAGTTTCCTTTCACACATCAAATACATCATCCCCCTCTGAAAATGCCATTCATCCTAGAAAAACTTAACTACTCCCAGACATACGTCACTCTATTTCTGGTTATCTTGTCACAGCTTTTACCCAAGCAGGTAAGCAATCATACCACAGAAGAATTCAAGATGACTCAAGCGTGAGCAGCATTTCCAGGCCATAGAGTGGTTCTCGTTACAGGACTTCCCTCACTGCATGTATCAGAGGATCATCTTCCTGAGCTTCTTGCCCAAAGTCCAACTTGCTTTCAGAAAGGGCTCACATAACTGGGTCTACCTGCCTCCCAGCAGTCTTTCTTTGAACTCTCACTGCTTGTCCCCCTGCACTCCACAAAAATCTTTCCTTAACCCTTCCTTAACTTCCGTCTCATAGCCCATACTACAAGACTCCCTCCAATCCCACTTTTAATCCAGGTGTCCTGTTCCTGCAAGAACAGTCTCTGCTCTCACCAACAGCTTTTACATCTACAGCAGATCCAGGCTCTCTGCTAAGCTCTACAATAATGGAGAACGGAGAACTTTTAACAGACTTGCCACTTTAGTAACCCCATTATGTGCTGCTGGCCCAGAATTATTCACTCCATGTAAAGTTTCCCAGTAAGCACTTTCAAATTAGCAGTTTTCAAAGTTAACGGGAAAAGTTTATATTGTATGAACAGTATAATTTTTTTTTTATATTTCATATTTCTTCTAGCCTAACCTGGAATGCTCATGGCATCAGCAAGCGTAAACCAAATCCACATCGTTATGGTTTGCCGGTCTCCGTGCGTGGCACTTCGTTTTCCTTCCTCCCCATGCTACATACCCAGCTTTCACACACATACACTTCCAACACCACTGAAGATTTTTCTAAAAATGGTAAGTCTTTTCAATGTCCCCAGATATTAGTCACATTAACCAAAAAGCTAGGCACAGGTGGAAAAACAGAACACTTCAGCTCTGACGCCTTTTCTCACTCTCCCCTAAGCAAGATCACCAACAGGTAATAAGCTGACAGGTTTAGCAAAGACGGGTGAAAACCAAAACTTTGAAGCAGTTTTTGGGAAAAGAGTGTAGAAACAGAATTAAGGGATAAAAACATAGACTTTAGTGATGAAATGTCCATTTTTAGGATCAAAATATTCTTCCATCCAGCACACAGTCTTATCCCTACATCTGGCAAGTACTGGCAGCCAGACTCTTCACTTTCTGAGAAAGTGCTCCATCCATACCCCCCGAGGCAATACAGGTCCAGAAGCTAGGAAAATAGGTAGAGCGATGGCAGGGAATATAAAGCATGTTATGTGTTCAGTCATAGCTGTGCATCTCCAATACGTAAAGTGTATTAAATTACATACTTCAAATACATCCTGGCAATTAGCTTAAAAGAACAAAATCAAACAGTAAACACCTCCCAACAACCACCACAGTTCAGTTCCATTTTCACTTACCTCCAAAATAAGCTGGAATCCCTCTCTTTTCTTAATTTCCTCCACTAGATACCTGTAAATTAAAGATGCAGGGTTTTAAAGCATAGAACAAAGCAATACATACAGGCAACAACAAAAAGGATCTTGAACATTTATACACTTTTTTCTTTTTCTTTTTTTCCAATGTTGTTGTTCTTCTCCCCCCCCAAGAAACCACAGAGTTAAACCTCATTTCTCCCTGCTGTGAAAATGCAGTAGATATCAGTTCCTAGAAACAAATGAAGGCTACAGCCAGCCAAGGAGCACTGAGGAGAGGCCAAATTCTGTCCTCAGGCACAGATTTTCAGTGGAGCCACATGGCACAAATTGATCCTATTTGCATCAGGCTGTGAACCTTCTCAGTGTAAATTTCATTGATGTTGCTCTTTACAAATTAATTCCTCCATCTCTTTTTCTCAAGTGCTGATGCTCTGCTGCCATGTTATTTCACAGTCACCCTGACATCTCTTGCACTACTAGTGTCACCGGGACCTCTTAGTTTAGCCCAGAATGTTAAAGTTTCCATGTACTTCAAGCCTAGCAATTTTCCTAGTACTGTCCTTGTTCCACACTGTACACAACAGTGCCCATTTCCATTCAGCGAGCCACTGCTGATGCACAGTAATCTCTGGACATCCTATGCTAACAATACATTGAAATAAGTATTGCTTTTCTCTTTCAACTGTTAGTTTGAAAAACACAGACGCCTTCAATGGGAAAATGGGTTTGAATCAAAACTTTGGATCCAAACAGCTTCAATTTATAGACATTTTTTAAATCATGACCTCAACTTTGCTATGGCACATGCCACACAGGAATTCTGAAGCAAAGACGACACTTTGACATAGCTGGGACTGCTCTCGTTATTCCCCCCTACAAAGCCTTCCCAAGGAAAACTCCAAAGAAGTCACCTCAAATTCACAGTTTTTCCATTTCAACAGAATTTTAGTCTTCTATGCAAAGATTTTGCTGTCTAACAGTAATAAAACTAAGACAGCTAAACTACTGATTGTGTACCAATCTACGTCTTTGTTGCATTAATTTAACATTTTCCTGCCTGCAGCTGCATTACTGGCCATCACACAAATAATTCTTTCATCCACTATTTGAGGAAGAAAAATATTGTCAAAATAACCCCCCCTGGTCCTATCCACCTGCCTGAAACCTGTCCCCATAGGGACACCTCTAGCACAGTTGTATCTGCAACGCCTGCTATTTGGCAGATGTGCTGCAGAAACAGGTTGGCTAGGGAGGCAGTAAACAATACCCTAGATGGTGTACATTTTTCAAAACAGAGCATGGGGAGTTGTCACGCTGTTTATCATTAACAAGGACTGTGCATGTGACTCATTACCTCTTAGCACACATCCCTGCAAAACGATTGCTGTGGTAGAGCGCCAGTTCCCACGGCATGCAGCTCTATGAGTTGTGCCGCACTGTGTGCTGTTGAGATGTTTCCTCTCAATATAGTAGGTCTAGGTTCTGGGTCTTTTCTGCAATGACCATTTAGATCCTACTGTGTGCATTTGTTACCTGGCTGTAAATGCCCACACTACTGTTTATGTTGAAAGGTAAGTAGGAGGCCAGATATCACATGAGGGTGTTGGGAGGAACCTGTTGCTGAACAAGCTCAGTGCTTTTGTCCTGTTGATTAGAAGATACTTGTCTGTACCATAAAACCAACATTCAACAAAATCAGCAGGCTATTCACAAGAAAGTGGCCCTCAATTTATTTTTTTCATGAATCACTAAAAAGAAACCTATGTATGATCACCCTTTTTTTTTTGGAGGTCTTGATTTGTTTACAACGCTTAATACCCTTCCCTCTTACCACAAGTGCCTTTTTTTTTTAGACCACCATCTGATATAGGATATCTGATGTCACTCAAGCTCACAATAGTGTTAATCATGTTCTTAACTACATTTCCAATAGCCTAAGAAGGCAGCCATTAGAAAATCCATCACCCATGATTTATCTTGCCAGGACTATTTGATGGCAGTGGAGCAATTTACTCTGTGCTTCTTTCTACAGTTGACAGTGGAGTTTTATTATCGTGTCATGGTTGTAGAACTGTAGACATTGAGTCTCAGTGAGGACTGGAGTGCACAGAAAAGTGATATTTGCTATGATTAAGCCTTGTAGAAAATGAGGGGTGGAGATCTGCAGTGAAAGTAGACATATGTCTGCTAAGAGTGGGTGTCAGAAAAGGAATCATGCAGAAAAACTGCAAAGATGCTGAAGCATAAAATGCAGAGGTGGTTATAGTTGTATTCCATTTTCTTGTTAGTGTACTTCATAATGCAACATCCCTGCATCAAAAATAATTGAGGGGGGAAAAAAAAGCAAAAAATTTTCTGAAGTGATCAGCAGGATGCTCTACTATAGTTATTTTAAAAATAAGCCTTTCCAAATAGGTAGCATCACAATATTCCTGGGATATCTAATACACTGAAAACATGATTCATCTTCAGAATAAGAAGAAATTAATGGAACTGCCAATAAGCAAAGTTTGATGCAACAGAAATACATGCCTGCAATTACCCTAAAACCTTTGCAG